AAACCTCCACGAAACATCCACGCCTCGCGCGAGGTAACTTAATCCCGATTCTAAAAATAACTCGAGACGAATTACCTATGGAATAGGGTGTATATGGGGGATGCCCTCTCTGTCCCCTTTATAGTCTCTTGATACTAACCATACCTAAAATCGATGAAAATAGAATTTAAACCAAAGAGAAAATTGAAGCGCATCATTTTTTGCAAGGAACAGTCATTCGTCACTCGTTGAGGTAAAAATCTCGGAACCTAGAGGCTAAATGCTAAATGGTTCAAACGTAAGAAAGAAGTTCTATTGCAGGGAGGCTCCGCCCCGATGTCCAACCCCTTACTCTTTTACCTGTTTTTTTCGGATCATTTTTGAAGGAAAAGGTACCCCTTTTCTTTACGGTCTATTGACAAAAAATACCCCTTTCACATATCTAGTTTAGAACTTTGCATCTCTTTTATCTGCTGTAAATGCGCTGTCTTTAAAATATGAATAAATAAAAAACCAGACTGGGAACGTTTTCTCGACTTTTTCACAGCCATAATGAAATGCATCTGTGATCTCTTTCTGGCTTTTTTGCAGACGTGAATGACAGATTTCCCTACCCCGTCATATACTTCAACAGGTAACATTCCTACCCTTTCATAAAACTAAGCCTGAAAAAAGTACCCCTTTCGGGTGGACCCTCAACGTATAGGCCGGAAGTACCCCCGGACACTACCTAAGATTATCTTGTTTGTATTGTTTGTATTGTTGAGTCGCATATGAGGCCCGTATGAGAGTCGCGAGACCCGTATGAGAGTCGCGCTTAAAAGCAACGACTCTCATATGGGTTTTGTCGTAAAATTTCATGCCACAGTTCTTTTGCAGCTTCTGAGGCTATGCTCAATGTCTTAAACGAATAGAGATTAACTTCGGCATTTCCACTTTAAGTGGACAGAAAAACATGAAAAACACGGCATAGTTCAAAACCTGACGAGAGCTAATATCGCTTGAGGCTTTTCCGTGCACAGCAAGAGTCCATAACCCATGTCCTTTCCTATTAAAAACTCCTAAAACAAGCTGAAAGTTTCACCTGCCACAACTAAACGAGATGCAAATTTCCAATCTTGATGTTGAAATAATGATTCATGGAAACTTAACATTAAACGGTCTCTCTCGAGTACAGAATTTGAAAGTCGAGTATTATGAACGCGAAATTTTATAACAAAGTTAGCCACGTTATACCCTGGGTGCCAGAGGCTTTTGATGCGCGGTTTCCGATCTTAGTTAAGTCCTAAAAAGTAACCCTCTCATGTCTTCGGCCTTCAGAGACGTGCGAAGATCCTCGTCGCACGCGAGAAAAAATCTCTGGTACTCAGCGTAGCAACGTAATACAGTTGCTGTTGAAAAAATCTTAGTCCGGAGTTTATACTGACTTAATTTACCCTGGATATCAGAGGTTTTATCACGCGCATGCAGCAGGCTGGATTTGATAATGATGCCCGGTAATAAGAAATAAAAATAAGAGGTTGACCACTCAAATTTGCTTGGGAAATAAAGACATGGGGGTGGGGGATTGCGAAAGTCATCAAATGTTATTAGGGGGGATTACTTAAGGGAAGTAACGTTCAAAGGGGGCATGGGCTACATTTCACCTTGTTTAACCCCTGTTTTCCCGAGAAATATATGGTGAAAGACCATGCCAGTTTCTTCGGGAGTGTGTGAAACGCCTAATTTAAGGCTGGATACCTAACGAACCACAGGACACCCAACGCCTGGCGCTCGCAACAGATTCAGTTACAACTTATCATTCATCAAATTGTCTACTACCTCTTTAAGCGGTCCTGGATAGTTATAACCAAACAACTCGAGATCTCTGTTATAAATACTTAAAGTTGCCTTATCCTGAGCAGAGAAAGCGTGGAATAGTACTTCTGCATCAACTCGCTAGTGTCTGTTGGTTGCCATTCCGGAAAGTTTACCTTGTTTTCCAAGTTTGTTTTTCTTAGAATAAACATGGCGTCCTCAGCCGGGGCCGGGCCGTAACAAGTCAGTTACGGTTCTTGAAGGAAAAACACTGGTGCCTAAGAATCGAACCCCAAAGGACGTCTGCGGGGAGGCTAAAGAATAATTGCCGCCCTTTCATTTTCACTCCCCCGTTTTAATTTGAACACTCTGAACGTTAACGATCATTTGCAGGTCGCGTGACTAATATTTCAACAATGAATATTTCACAATTGTTAAGGCCGCCAAGCTAAAACGTTTTGTCTAGTTTCATGACGACTGATCAAAACAATCCGTTCCAAATGCCACGTCGCCAAATTATGCAAATTATGAGGTGAGACATGAAGCCTTAAGGCCCGTTTCAAAAGTCCTGCTACTGCCTTGCCGAACTCAATTGCTCGACTGATTAAATTCGACTTGGCACGGCAGTAGCGCGACGTTTGAAACCAAGTCGTGCTACTGCCGTGTAGCACGGCAAGGCTTGCCGTGCTACACGGCAGTAGCTAGATTTGGTTTCAAACGTCGTGCTACCGCCGTGCCAAACTCAATTCATAAATTATTAATACAGAATATATTTAAAAGTTTGCTACACCGTTTTTTTTTATTTTTGTGGTTTCTTTTTGGCAACAGCCGTTCCATTGGACTGACATTGTGTGAATTAAATTCGACGTCTGAAACCAAGTCGTGCTGGTGTCGTGCTGCAGTCGAGCTACAGTCGTTTGAAACAGGCCTTACAATCAGTTCTATCAAACCCATTCGCAGCAAGTTATCATGAAATTCAGGGTCAAAACGTTTTCAAGGAGACGATTTAAATGTTTCTATCTCGTTGCTTTAATGTTAAGCTAGATTTTCCTCATGTTTTTCTTCTTGTTGCCGCCCTCCAATTCAATCACTGAATGCGATGTACTGGACTCGAAATGGATGAAAATCCAATTACTTGGAAACAACCCAAACAACGAAAACGCTAGCGCGCCGAGACAGTCTGTGAATAAATCCGAGAACCCAGTACTGAAACACAAGACGACATTGATCACAACGAAAACTTGTTCGCAACACTACTTTCTTCTTATTCTGGTTTCTTCAGCGCCTTGTAATCTACAGCGAAGGAAAGACATCCGCCAAACATGGGGTGTAGACTTTGCTTTGAATCCTCGCTGGAAGACTGTCTTCCTTGTGGCCCAGACGCGGAACAAGAGCGTATCAGACCGGTCAGTATAAAATATGGACTACGGACTGCGGACTACGGACTGCGGACTGAGTATAAAATACGGACTAGGTATAAAACGCGGACTGGAAAATACGGACTGGGTATAAAACACGGACTAGGTATAAAACGCGGACTGCGGACTGGGTATAAAATACGGGCTACGGACTACTTTGGTAAAAACGGTGCCAATTGGTTCTAGGTAAGGAAAAATAAGATCAAAAGATCGCTAAATAGCAAGACACGTAATAGTTGTAAATACTCCCATGAATTTTTGGTGGAGGTGTGCCGCCCGGTTCTCTGAATCATGAGCCAGATCAAAATGCTATTTTCTTCACCCATTTTTAGACCTTGTGTCAGGATCAGGGGGGTACTCCCTTATGTAAGGGAAGGGTAGGGGTTTTGGGCCTTTTTGGTCTCAAAACACTTTGCCCATTTTGGTCTGGAATCGTGTATGGTTTTTCGAGGGAACTACGGGAGCATACATGAATGGACGTATTTATCGTTTCAATTCCAAATGAATAAGAACGAAATAGAAATGTGCGAATTCGAAATGCATTTGGAGAATTTTTTGTTTTGTTTCCGCTCTAACTTGGTAATGATGACATAATTTCTGCCTAATTATACCGAACCTGTTCCAGGCTGCGAGATAGCTGGGTCCGCTGAATTGAGAAAGCGCGAACACGAAAATAAAACGGGAAAAAAATGGGGAGTCTCCCCAACTATCTGAGAACCTGGAACAGGCTAAATTAGGCCAGGTCCGAAAATGGGTGTGGATTTTAGAGATCTGGTCTGAAAATGGGTGTGGAAAATAACATTTTTTGGTCTGCAATAAGGTCAGGATTCGGAGAACCGGGCACCACCCCCCACCAAGAATTCCCAGTACTTCCCCCCTCCGGGGATCAGGAGCAGGGTGTAAATCATGTCATCATAATCATCGCTTGGAATATAACGTTGGATGACTCATTTCGGTTATTATTCACGTATGTGAGTAATCCCTCCCCCCTTGCCCTCCCCCCTAAATACCGCTTTTGTGCATCGCGGAATGCCCTACATTGACCTTCTCGTCTGAGTTCTTCATTCAGTCCTCATACGGAATTGTGGTATTCGATAAGAATTTTACTGATCTAACACCAATACCTTTTTTTAAATTCGGTGCTTCTTATTGGTTTAAAACTACAAATTGAAATCTGTTCTAACTCCTTCTTTTCATAAAATTCAGAGTAAAATTTCAGTTGCCTTGAGTACCGGCATAACCTTCCTTCTCCGTGGGAAGAATAGACTACGTGAACAGCCAAGGGAATGTTAAAGTTGGGATTACTGTTTTTGCTAGTCCGCTTTCCATTTCTCTCAGTTTTACCTTTCTAAAGCTGTTTTTATTTACATAGTCCGTAGTCCGCGTTTTATACCCAGTCCGTGTTTTATACTCAGTCCGGAGTCCGCGTTTTATACCTAGTCCGTATTTTATACCCAGTCCGCAGTCCGTGGTCCGCAGTCCGCAGTCCATGTTTTATACTGACCGCGTATCAGACTTATTACTGAAAGAGGAAAACGTTTTCGGGGACCTTGTACGAGCGCAATTCTACGATCATTACTGGAATCAGACCCTTAAGATACAAATGGCATTTGAGTGGGCTTTCATGTATTGTAATTTTTCCTTTCTTTTAAAAATGGACGATGATACATTTGTTGATGTTAAAGGTTTAATCTCACTACTTGCCAAGCCTGCAACTCCTCAAGGAAAGCTTTATATTGGAAAGTGTTTTGCGAAAGCCTTAGTGAAGAGGAAGGGAAAATGGAACATTTCGTTTGAAGATTATAATGCAACATTCTATCCAGAGTATTGTTCTGGGTTTGGAATTGTCTTATCTTCTGATGTTATTAATAAGTTAGTTGATTTGTTTGACGTTGTCCCAAAGTTCAAAGTCGACGATGTTTACATCGGTATGCTGGCCGAAAAAGCTGCTGTGAAACCTATTTTTAAGGGTGATTTTTTTAGCAGATTTTCCATGCAACCACTGGGAAGTAATAGCTGCGTCGATCTGAAGAAGTATATTTGAGTTGTTTCGAGCTACATTATGTATTTAGACTGAAATGACTGTTTTGAAGTGATTCCCGTCACAAAGTAAAACTAAAATTTATCCCGTGGTTCGGTTTTATCTTTGGTTTGTTTTACAGTCAAACCAGGTCAAGAGTTACCCCCCAAGAATCCATTAATGAATTTATTATTCAAAAGTTGAATCTATTGCTAGTTGTAGATTTCAGATTGATCTCTGCATTCTTGTATGTGTAATGAGCCCTGAATTCACACGCGAGGCAGTTATGAAATTTCTGCCAGCTCCATTTTCCTGAAATTGAAGTAAATGTCTTCTAAGAAGCTTAATCCATTCAAAGATTTCCAATCTGACCAAATACAGAGAAGTTCTCGTAAAATATTCAATGCTCATTACGCATGCAGAAATGCCGCTTTGAATTTGACACCAGTTACGGGAACGGCTAACGGATTCATTTTTCAAATAATCAATTCACTGATAGAATGCCTTACTTGGTTTGACTGTAAAATCATTCTCATGCATACTAACCATACCTAAAATCAATGAAAGTAAAATTTGAACCAATGATAAAATTAAAGCACATCATTTATTGCAAGGAAGTCAGTCGTCACTCGTTGACGTAAAAATCTCGGAACCTAGAGACTAAATGCTAAATGACTCAAACGTAAGAAATACTGAGGAAGAAACACTCGGAATAGAACAAACACGTTTACGCTGAGTACTTTGTTATGACTACAGTCGACTCCCGATAAAACTCGAACCCTCTATAACTCGAACCTCCCGCTAACTCGAAGCAATTTTCATATCCCTTCAGATCATTTTCAATATAATTTTGCCCTTGATAACTCGAACTCCCGATAACTCGAACTTTTTTCAATTTTCCTTGAAGGTTCGAATTATCGGGAGTCTACTGTATTTGTTTATTTCAAGGACCCAATTAGAATATGAAGTAATGTTTTCTAGTACTTTCTATGACAAGATAAGAACTGGATAAACAGGTTTTTGTGTCTTCGGGTTATATAAGCAGTTTCAACATACCAGTGTGCGCTCTTTTATCGTGTATCGATCTGTAACGGAGTTCTCTTAAGTTTCTGGTAGAAATTAAAGTTCAAGTTGCGTTTAACAAATTTGTGGCTGTCACAGACGTTCAAGTTGAATCTTAACAAGAAGGGAGGGAAATTAGTACTTTACCCGGGGGCTGGGAGGGAGGGGGGGGGGCTACTCAACGAAGTTCTATTGCACAAAGGCTCCACCCCGAGGTCCAACCCCTTACTCTTTTTAGTGTTTTTTCGTATCATTTTTTCGGTACCCCTTTCGTTTATCGTCTATTGACAAATGATACGCCTTTCACATATCTAGTTTAGAACTTTACATCCCTTTTACCTGCTGTAAATGCGCCCTCTTTGAAATCTGAATAAATCAAAAGCCATACTGGGAACGTTTTCTCGACTTTTTCACAGCCATAAAATGACCTTTCTGGCATTTTTGCAGACGGACGGAAATGACAGATTTCCCTACCCTTTTATACTTCAACAGGTAAAATCCATACCATTTCATAAACCTGAACCTGAAAAAGGTACCCCTTTCGGGCGGACTCTCCCCGTATAGACCCGAAGTACCCCCGGACAATATCTAAGATTATCTTGTTTGTATTGTTTGTATTGGTGAGTCGCATATGAGACCTGTATGAGAGTCGCGCTTAAAAGCAGCGACTCTCATATGGGTTTAGTCGTAAAATTTCATGCCACTGTTCTTTTGCAGCTTCTGAGGCTCTGCTCAGTGTCTTGCACGAATAGAGATTAATTTCGGTATTTCCACTTAAAGTGGAGAGAAAATATGAAAAACGCGGCATAGTTCAATACCTGGCGAGAGCTAATATCGCTTGAGCCTTTCCGTGCACAGCAAGAGCCCATAATCCATATACTTTCCCATTAAAAACTCCTAAAACAAGCTGGAAGTTTGACCTGTTATGACTAAAGGAGATGCAAATTTCCAATCTTGATGTTGAAATAATATTCATGGAAACTGAACATTAAACGGTCTCTCTCAAGTACAGAATTAAAAAGTCGAGTATTATGAACGCGAAATTTTATAACAAAGTTAGCCACGTTATACCCTGGGTGCCAGAGGCTTTTCATGCGCGGTTTCCGATCTTGGTTAAGTCTTAAAAAGTGCCCCTCTCGTGTCTTCGGCCTTCAGAGACGTGCAAAGATTATCGTCGCACGCGAAAAAAAACCTCTGGTACCCAGTGTAACAGTAATACAGTTGCTGTTGAAAAAATCTTAGTCCGGAGTTTATACTGACTTAATTTACCCTAGATAACAGAGGTTTTGTCAGGCGCATGCAGCAGGGTAGATTTAATAATTATGCCCGGTAATAAGTAGTCCGCGTTTTATACCCAGTCCGTGTTTTATACTCAGTCCGGAGTCCGCGTTTTATACCTAGTCCGTATTTTATACCCAGTCCGCAGTCCGTGGTCCGCAGTCCGCAGTCCATGTTTTATACTGACCGCGTATCAGACTTATTACTGAAAGAGGAAAACGTTTTCGGGGACCTTGTACGAGCGCAATTCTACGATCATTACTGGAATCAGACCCTTAAGATACAAATGGCATTTGAGTGGGCTTTCATGTATTGTAATTTTTCCTTTCTTTTAAAAATGGACGATGATACATTTGTTGATGTTAAAGGTTTAATCTCACTACTTGCCAAGCCTGCAACTCCTCAAGGAAAGCTTTATATTGGAAAGTGTTTTGCGAAAGCCTTAGTGAAGAGGAAGGGAAAATGGAACATTTCGTTTGAAGATTATAATGCAACATTCTATCCAGAGTATTGTTCTGGGTTTGGAATTGTCTTATCTTCTGATGTTATTAATAAGTTAGTTGATTTGTTTGACGTTGTCCCAAAGTTCAAAGTCGACGATGTTTACATCGGTATGCTGGCCGAAAAAGCTGCTGTGAAACCTATTTTTAAGGGTGATTTTTTTAGCAGATTTTCCATGCAACCACTGGGAAGTAATAGCTGCGTCGATCTGAAGAAGTATATTTGAGTTGTTTCGAGCTACATTATGTATTTAGACTGAAATGACTGTTTTGAAGTGATTCCCGTCACAAAGTAAAACTAAAATTTATCCCGTGGTTCGGTTTTATCTTTGGTTTGTTTTACAGTCAAACCAGGTCAAGAGTTACCCCCCAAGAATCCATTAATGAATTTATTATTCAAAAGTTGAATCTATTGCTAGTTGTAGATTTCAGATTGATCTCTGCATTCTTGTATGTGTAATGAGCCCTGAATTCACACGCGAGGCAGTTATGAAATTTCTGCCAGCTCCATTTTCCTGAAATTGAAGTAAATGTCTTCTAAGAAGCTTAATCCATTCAAAGATTTCCAATCTGACCAAATACAGAGAAGTTCTCGTAAAATATTCAATGCTCATTACGCATGCAGAAATGCCGCTTTGAATTTGACACCAGTTACGGGAACGGCTAACGGATTCATTTTTCAAATAATCAATTCACTGATAGAATGCCTTACTTGGTTTGACTGTAAAATCATTCTCATGCATACTAACCATACCTAAAATCAATGAAAGTAAAATTTGAACCAATGATAAAATTAAAGCACATCATTTATTGCAAGGAAGTCAGTCGTCACTCGTTGACGTAAAAATCTCGGAACCTAGAGACTAAATGCTAAATGACTCAAACGTAAGAAATACTGAGGAAGAAACACTCGGAATAGAACAAACACGTTTACGCTGAGTACTTTGTTATGACTACAGTCGACTCCCGATAAAACTCGAACCCTCTATAACTCGAACCTCCCGCTAACTCGAAGCAATTTTCATATCCCTTCAGATCATTTTCAATATAATTTTGCCCTTGATAACTCGAACTCCCGATAACTCGAACTTTTTTCAATTTTCCTTGAAGGTTCGAATTATCGGGAGTCTACTGTATTTGTTTATTTCAAGGACCCAATTAGAATATGAAGTAATGTTTTCTAGTACTTTCTATGACAAGATAAGAACTGGATAAACAGGTTTTTGTGTCTTCGGGTTATATAAGCAGTTTCAACATACCAGTGTGCGCTCTTTTATCGTGTATCGATCTGTAACGGAGTTCTCTTAAGTTTCTGGTAGAAATTAAAGTTCAAGTTGCGTTTAACAAATTTGTGGCTGTCACAGACGTTCAAGTTGAATCTTAACAAGAAGGGAGGGAAATTAGTACTTTACCCGGGGGCTGGGAGGGGGGGGGGGGGG